ATTCGAGACTCTGTCTCAAACAAGAAAAAAGAATTGAGTAGTTCTTTTTCAACTGGAGGAAAGTCCGAGTAAATCACCAGGATAAATGGTCAAGAGCTGAACATTTAAAGATTAACTAGTTTCAGCCAGCACAGTAGGCTCACGCCTGTTAATCCTACACTCTGGAAGGCCGGGAGGCGGGATGTTATTTTTGTCTTCTTTGTCCTTGAGTCGAAACCACCTGAGCTGTTATTGTTGAGGACCCCAATCTTTTTATTATTGTATAAATGGTTACTATTTTGTTATTTAATCAAGCGGAGCATGTGGGCACATTGCCTGGTAGAACCCAGCTACTTGGGAGGCTGAGGCAGTAGCGATCACTTGAGCCTAGGAGTTTGAGGTTGACTGTAAAGCTAGGGGCTGAACAACCATGGCACTCAACTTCTTAGGCCTGGGCAACCAAAGCGGAACTCTGTCTCAAAAAAAAAAAAAAAAAAAAATTAGCTAGGTTTTCAACTTCTGGAAAACAGGAAGATTTGCCCTAAAGATCATACAGTCGAGTTGCTTGGGAGGATAATCCGGTGGCCTGGTACCTACTCCAGTGCTTCTATAAGGCCACCACCTCCATTCCATATTATTCTTTAAATGCTAAGAAATGCATGTTGTTACCTTACCTATCGGGAAACCGATAAAAAGGAAGCTCAAGTAGAAAATATTTACTTACCATCCATGTTTTGTGTTTCCCTTGCTTGCTTAAATTTAAAAGTTGTATCTTTTCTGCTAACTACACAAGATACAATGTCTTGTTAACGCTGATGGTTTTGGGCAAAGCCAACTAGGCTTAATGCCACGGTATTGAAACTCTCATGGAAGTTTCCCTTCACGATAGATAAGGGTTGTTCTCCTGGGCTAGTTAAGCACAATATTGAACCATGTTACAATAGGAAGGAGATTATATTCAAATAATATTCTAAAAAGTTTTCCTGATTTTTTGGCCCTTTGGATTAAGGAAAAGCCCCTCAAAAATCTGAGTGGCTCATCACCATTAGGATGATTCCTGTCTTGCTTGCTTCAATTATTTGGAGTAGAAATTCTATTCATCAGATAGCAAGTCACTTACACATCTATTCTATCCTATATTTCTCATTTCACACTGTAGACATTGAGGAATCCAAGATTGTTGTTTTGGCTTCATACGTGGCTTGATATTATAAAGCTTCTGAAACTGTATAATATTGCAGACTCAAAATTACATAAGGACTCTTTTTTTTTAATAAATTGTTGTAATTTACTTAGAAGCATTCAGAATGTCAAACAAACAGGCTGCAACTTTTTTTGCAAATTACAGAGTTGTACGTAACAGAACAACAATTTATTTCGTTATAAGCTGCATCAGAAAGACAAACTGAACGGATGAAAAAACTAACATCCCCATAATAAACTAATTTGTGCTGTCCACCAAAAGAACCCTGCTTTAAATTCCATGCCATTTAAACAACCCCCATACTGTACAGGCAAAGGTTATGGTATTTGAAAATACACCAGGACAGGGCTAGTCTAAAGAACACATTTCGGGTAATTGTGTGTTGAAACTATACAAAAGAAAGACCACTGTACCAGGTTTAAAAAACAAATCTTACAACAGCTTACATTTTCAATTTTTTCTTTAAAGAGGTGAGTGGTACAGGGGGTTTAAAATGCTTTATAGACAAGAAAAAAACTCGCTAAACAACTTATTCATTCATCATCATCATCATTCTTATCTCTCATTCTCTCTCCTCTTCATCCTTCTTCATCTTCCTATCTTTCCTCCTCTTCCTTCTTTTTCTTGGCTTTTTTCAGCCTTTGACGACTCCCTTTTTTGCTGCATTCAGGCTTCCTTTAAGCTCGGTATGCAGCAAATTATCCTTTCATACTTTTCCTTCAGCTTGCAGCCTTCTTTTCATAAGGCTGCTTATCATCTGCAGCAGTGTTATTCCAACCAATCTCCTCCCAGTTCTTTGGGGGGACTCAACCAATGGAAAGGCCAGGATGTTCTCCTTGATTAGGGAAATACTCAGAACAGAAAAAGAAAAAGGCCGAAGTGAAGGCCTCTTGGTGCTTGGGATCCTTGAACTTCTTTTGGTTTCCCCTTTAGGAGGGATAAGGTTTTCATTTCTCTTTCATTAACGGCCTTGTCCCGCCTTTGCCATATCTTCAAACTTCCTTCTCTTTTAGCAGACATGGTCTTCCAACCTTCTCTGAGCACTTCTTAGAAAAACTCTGAGAAGTTTGGGACTGAAGCGTCTGGGTGCTTCTTCTTGGCTCCTCCCGGCAAGTTTTCAACAAAGAATGCGTATTATGATGACATTTTGCCTTTGCCTCTCGGCTTCTTAGGATCTCCTTTGCCCATGTTTAGTTATTTTTCCTCAGTGAGGCACAGAGTCGCCCAGTGCCCGTCCGGCTCTCACTTGGCCCGGCGCTGTCTCTCAGGACTCTTATTTTTATCCCTGAAAAATGTTTCTATGAGTAGATACCTGTTTCTAATCTGACATCCATATGTTATTTCTGGTTAGGTGCTCATAGCTATCAAGGAACAATATAAGAAAAACACCTGGTTAGAATAAACCATCTGCCATTTTTCCTTCCATGCTGAAGAATTTAGCATCTGACTAGAGTAGGGTTTGATGAAGGATGGTGGGGGTTGATTTAAATATTCAAGCATAAATAGATCTGGGATACCAGAGATGAAACCATCAGTATATGGCAACCTAATATTTGATAAAGTAGACAAAAATATACAATGGGGAAAAGAATCCCTCTTTAATAAATGGTGCTGGGAAAACTGGTTAGCCACATGCAGAAGATTGAAACAGGATCCCTACCTATCAGGATCCCTACCCTTCTCACCTCTCACATAAATTCACTGAAGATAGATAACAGACTTAACCTAAGGCATGAAACCTTAAGAATCCTAGAAGAAGACGTTGGGAAAACCCTATTAGACATTGGTCTAGGCAAAGAATTTTTGAGGAAGAGCCCCAAGGCAATCACCGCTGCATCAAAAATAAACAAATGGGATCTCATCAAATTAAAAAGTTTCTGCATAGCTAAGGAAACCATCATTAGAGCAAATAGACAACCCACAGAGTGGGAGAAAATATTTGCTCTCTATACTTCTGATAAAGGTCTAATAACAAGTATCTATCTAGAACTTAAAAGAATAAACAAGAAAAAAAATCAAACAATCCCATCAAGAAATGGGCAACGGAAATGAACAGAAACTTCTCTAAAGAAGACAGAATAATGGCCTGCAAACATATAAAAAGATGCTCAACATCTCTAATCATCAGAGAAATGCAAATCAAAACCACAATGAGATACCATCTAACACCAGTGAGAATGGCTTGTATCAAGAAATCCCAAAACAACAAATTCTGGCTAGGATATGGAGAGACAGGAACACTCCTACACTGCTGGTGGGACTGCAAATTAGTGCAACCTCTGTGGAAAAGAATTTGGAGATACCTCAAACAGCTAGATATAGAAATACCATTCACCCAGCAATAGCATTGTTGGGCATCTACCCAAAAGAGCATAAGACATTCTACTATAAAGACATCTGCACCCAAATGTTTATGGCAGCACAATTCACTATTGCAAGATCATGGAAACAACATAAGTATCCGTCAATTCATGAGTGGATAATTAAAATTTGGTATATGTTCACAATGGAATACTACTGAATTCTAAGAAATGACAGTGAGCTAGCACCATTTATGCTATCCTGGATTAAGCTTAAGCCCATTATCCAAAGTGAGGTGACACAAGATCAAGAAAATGGGCTCCACATCTACTCGCCATCAAATTGGTACTGACTAATTAAAACTATGGTGCTCAAATGGTGATAGTGCTCACCGGGATTTGGGGGAGATACACATCTTAGGGTTGTGGTGAGCATTGTCGGGGGGTAGGAAGTACCTCTAACCCTTTGTAGGGAAAGGTAAAGATATACAATGTAACCCAAAACTCAAAAAAAGGAAAAAAAAAAACTTTTATCTGGTGGTGGGCAGATGGGAGGGGGGAGAAGGGGAGGGACATATACTTACAAAATAGGTGCGATGCACACCACCTGGGGGTAAGACACACTTGATGTTTTGGTAAGGAAGGGGGGCTGGGGGAGGAATGGCAGGGGCAATATATGTAACCCTAACAATATTTGTACCCCCACAATATGATAAATAAAAGGAAAAATAAATAAATATTCAAGCATAATAAATACCAGATCCGCCCAGCATAGTTTAAAATCTACTAGAATGAGACCTAATTCCTAGCAATTACAAACAAAGCTTGTATAAGTGCAAATTACCTGTATACAGGAATAAAACTCTATGAATCTCTTTTCTGATCCTAAAGTATAAGCTACACAAGAAAGCTTATGAATTGTGTTCATGTATCATCTTTCTTACTTGATCTAGGTAAAAAGTCTTCCAGGATTTGCAGCAGAGAGGGTTTTCATATGAAGGATGTTGTGTGCTTTAAGATGTCAATGTGGGTCGGGCGCAGTGGCTCACACCTGTAATCCTAGCACTCTGGGAGGCCAAGGCGGGCAGATTGCTCGAGGTCAGGAGTTCAAAACCAGCCTGAGCAAGAGCGAGACCCCATCTCTACTATAAATAGAAAGAAATTAATTGGCCAACTAATATATATAGAAAAAATTAACCAGGCATGGTGGCGTATGCCTGTAGTCCCAGCTACTTGAGAAGCTGAGGCAGTAGGATTGCTTGAGCCCAGGAGTTTGAGGTTACTGTGAGCTAGGCTGACACCATGGCACTCACTCTAGCCTGGGGCAACAAAGCGAGACTCTGTCTCAAAAAAAAAAAAAAAAAAAAAAAAAAAGATGTCAATGTGAAGAGCAGGGGTGAGAAGGTAGCATTTCATACTGAAACACCTGACCTAAACTGACCAACAGTGACTTCCAGCCTTCTTTAGGAATGAAAGCCTTGTGGTGTTGAGATAATGATGGATGTTCATTATTATAGGAAGCTGGAGACAACAACCAGTTCTGTTGGAGAAACCTCTTTTCCTGCATCAACCTCCTGAGGTTGCTCAATAAACTGACCAAATGGAAACATTCCAGGACCATGGTGAGTGGGGCTTCAGATCACTGAGGTGTCCATCTGACTGAATTTTTAAAAATCATTAGTAAATATTTGTGGACTGCCTGCTTTGTGAGCTCTGTAGATAGACACTGAATACTATGTAAGATTTAACACCTCCTAATCCTGGACACTTATTCTATTATCTATAAGACGATTACTCATCAGTCCATTTCTTTTCAGGGAGTTGAATACAGACCCTCCCTCAGAGTAGCTCTGGTAGAGAAGTTAGCAATGTTGTTTGGATTACAGTCACACATCCCAAATGATGCAAGTGCAAAATTATTCATTGCAGCATTTTTTATAATAATGAAAGATTGGAAACAACCTAAATGCCCACTAATATAGGACTAACTGGTTAAATAAATGATGGTACATCCTTAGAATATTTGCAACCATTAAAAAGAAGGAGGCCCAGCTACTCGAGAGGCTGAGATGGGAGGATCGCTTGAGCCCAGGAGTTCTGGGCTGTAGTGTGCTATGCCAATCAGGTGTTCACACTAAGTTCGGCATCAATATGGTGACCTCCCAGGAGCGGAGGACCACCAGGTTGCCTAAGGAGGGGTGAACCGGCCCAGGTCAGAAACAGAGCAGGTCAAAACTCCCGTGCTGATCAGTAGTGGGATTGCACCTGTGAATAGCCACTGCACTCCAGCCTGGGCAACATAGCAAGACCCTGTCTCTATAAAAAAAAAAAAATTATTAAAAAAAAAGAAGGAGGTAGTTCTATACTGATATGAAATAATTTTCAAGATATATTGTTTAGTAAAAAGATATAGAACAGGCCGGGCGTGGTGGCTCACGCCTGTAATCCTAGCACTCTGGGAGGCTGAGGCGGGCGGATTGCTCCAGGTCAGGAGTTCGAAACTAGTCTGAGCAAGAGCGAGACCCCGTCTCTACTATAAATAGAAAGAAATTAATTGGCCAACTGATTATTATATAAAAAAAAAAAATAGCCGGCATGGTGGCGCATGCCTGTAGTCCCAGGTACTCGGGAGGGCTGAGGCAGGAGGATCGCTTGAGCCCAGGAGTTTGAGGTTGCTGTGAGCTAGGCTGACACACGGCACTCACTCTAGCCTGGACACAAAGGTGGACTGTCTCAAAAAAAAAAAAAAAAAAAATTAGTGGGCATGGTGCACATGCCTGTTAGTCCCAGCTACTTGGGTGGCTGAGGCAGGAGGATCACTTGAGCCCAGGAGTTTGAGGTTGTTGTGAGCTAGGCTGACTCCACGGCACTCACTCTAGCCTGGGCAACAAAGTGAGACTCTGTCTCAAAAAAAAAAGAAAGATATAGAACAGTATGGCAGGATCTGCATTGACTATTGTTTTGTGTTAAGAAACAAAAATAATATATGTGTACATAGAATTATCTCCAGATGATAGACAAGAAACTGGTAACAGTGAAAATGGATGTGTGGCTAACAAAATTTTCTTTTCACTTTATACTATGTATTTTGTTTTGTCTTTTTTTTTTTTTGAGACAGAGTCTCGCTTTGTTGCCCAGGCTAGAGTGAGTGCCGTGGCGTCAGCCTAGCTCACAGCAACCTCAAACTCTTGGGCTCGAGCGATCTTCTGCCTCAGCCTCCGAGTAGCTGGGACTACAGCATGAGCCACCATGCCCGGCTAATTTTTTTATATATTATCAGTTGGCCAATTAATTTCTTTCTATTATAGTAGAGACAGGGTCTCACTCTTGCTCAGGCTGGTTTTGAACTCCTGACCTTGAGCAATCCGCCCGCCTCGGCCTCCCAAGAGCTAGGATTACAGGCATGAGCCACCGCGCCCGGCCTATATACTATGTATTTTGAATATGAGAAACTTTGAATTATGAAATATGAATGGAATAGTTCCCTCTTTGTTCTTGAAGACTATCTATATAGAGCCTGGACCACAGATTCCCAAAAGCTCCTTGGGGGCTTCTGAGGCTAGCCAGGTTTGGTTTAATTTGTCTGTGAGTTGGAAATTCCAAGAAACTTGAGATCTTTATCTGCATTTCTTCACCCCACCCCTCTTTTAATGGGCAGATGCTAGTGGTGTTTAAATCGGCTCCAATCTTAAAGCGGGCCCTCAAGGTCAAACAGGCCATGCTGCAACTTTATGTCCTAAAGCTGCTAAAGATACAGACCAAGTACCTGGGTCGCCAATGGAGGAAAAGCAACATGAAAACCATGTCAGCCATTTACCAGAAAGTACGCCACCGCATGAATGATGACTGGGCTTATGGGAATGGTGAGTATTCTCAGAGCTCCTGACTTCCAGGAGTTTCCCGGGGTTTAAACTAAACTAAATAAACATTCTATTTATCTCTACTCTTGGCATGAATTGTTACGTATTTTGGGTGAGAAAATATGTGATTATAGGTCGGGTGCTAATACACCAAACTTTAACACGTTTAAATGCCCCAAATTCTTTTATTTTATTTTATTTTATTTTATTTTATTTTATTTTATTTTATTTTATTTTATTTTTTACTCTTTTTTTTTCTAACCTTCATTATTTTTTTCTTTTTCCTCTTCCAATGCTCAGATGCCCCAAATTCTAATGTGTACCCTGTCCTTTACCCTGTAAACTACGAAGATCCATTTTATAAAACAAGTAAATTGAAAGATAATTACCCCCTTTCCAAGATGTTCTTTTAAATGGCAGCTTTCTCCAAAAGATGTGTTAAGTTAAAATAACTTTTATTTTAAAGCAGTTAGGAAGAAAAGATAGAAAATACAAATAAGAAAACATTGTATTATATTATCATATTTATGCCATATTTGTGCCACCTAGAGATTACTACCATTAACACCTTATTGTGTATTCTTCCAGATCTTTTTCTATATGCATGCATATTTTATTAAAATGAAAGCAAATTATATATGCCATTTTATAATCTCTTTTCAGTTAACATTATCTATATCTTTACATGTCAGTATATTTTCATTTCATCTAATACAATTCATATTTAGAATTCCCCAGTTGTCTCAAAATGTTCTCTTTTTTTGAGACAGAGTCTCACTTTGTTGCCTGCGCTAGGGTGCCATGGCATCAGTCTAGCTCACGGCAACCTCAAACTCCTGGGCTCAAGCAATCCTACTGCCTCAGCCTCCCAAGTAGCTGTGACTACAGGCATGAGCCACCATGCCTGGCTAATTTTTTTTCTATATATATTAGTTGGCCAATTAATTTCTTTCTATTTGTAGTAGAGACGGGGTCTTGCTCTTGCTCAGGCTGGTTTCGAACTCCTGATCTCGAGCTAGGATTACAGGCATGAGCCACCACACCCGGCCTCAAAATGTTCTTTTTTTTTTTTTTCTCATATTTTTTTTTTCTTGTCAATACTAGTGAGGTTGATCAAAATGTTCTTTATTGTTATTTTTTCCAAGTAAGAATCCAATCCAGGACCGCAAATTGCATCTGGTTATATACATTAATTCATTTTGAATTTAGCAGTCTTTTTTTTCCCCCATAACACTAATTGAAGAACTAGCCCAGTTGTCCTGCAGAATACCCACCTTCTGAATTTGTCTGTTTGCTTCTTTTTTTTTTTTTTTTTTTTTTGAGACAGAGTCTCGCTTTGCTGCCCAGGCTAGGGTGAGTGCTGTGGCGTCAGCCTAGCTCACAGCAACCTCAAACTCCTGGGCTCAAGCAATCCTACTGCCTCAGCCTCCAGAATAGCTGGGACTACAGGCATGCGCCACCATGCCCGGCTAATTTTTTCTATATATATATATTAGTTTGCCAATTAATTTCTTTCTATTTATAGTAGAGACGAAGTCTTGCTCTTGCTCAGGCTGGTTATGAACTCCTGACCTCGAGCAGTCAGCCCGCCTCGGCCTCCTAGAGTGCTAGGATTACAGGCGTGAGCCACCGCGCCCGGCCTGTTTGCTTCTTTATGGTGTCATTTACCTTATTCCTCTATCCTTGGTATTTATTACCTGTAAACTTAAAGTTAGATTTAAAGGTTTGATGAATTCGGTTTAAACCTTTTTGACTATAGTACATCCTAGGTAATGTTGGAAACTGCATATTGCCTCACATCAGGAGGCATACTATCTGTAGTCAAAGGCCCTGCCCCTGAGCTATACCCCCGAGGAGACATAATTTTGAAAGGGCAGCCTTGCAAAAATAACAGGAAAATACCTAATCCCACAATTTCCCCAGTAACAGATCAATCCTATGAGTTCTCTCACTAACAGGTACCCTACAGGAGGAGTTCTGTTTTACACAGTTTCAGAAAAGAGATGTAAATCTCTCTCTTTCAAAATTGTTTTTTGAGAATCTGCTTTTTTACAGAATTCGTGAGTAAACAACAGGAGAACGAGCTCCATGCCTCAACCATATCTCCAGGATGGAGTCACATCTCCTGTGATAATCCCTTCTCCAAGGAAAGGCAGGAAATGAAATTTTGGACTTTGACATCCTTGCAGTTTTTTGTTATTTACCTGCTACTGCTTTTGTTATCAACTGACAGCCATCACTATTTTTTTTTTCTCTTCGTCCCCCTTAAAATCAGCAAGCCACTTGGCCTCACTGCTGGATCCCCTTCTCTTTGTTTGGGATGCCACCTGTTCTCTTTCTCCCCCCCCCCACCCCCATTCTCTGTCTTTCTAAAGAATAAAATAAACTTTTTTACTTTTATATCTTAATTTCTGCATGAGAAAATGTTCTCCACCCCCATCGTGAACACCTACCAGCCTTTCAACCCCTAACATCTGGTGCCCTGTACAAGGACAAAGGCAAATCACTTCTTTGCCTTGGCATGGGGACTTGAGACTGAGTCACAAGGAAACTGAGTCACTTCTATACCTTTATATAAGGAAAATCACTTCTCTGCCTCGGTATGGGGAATTTCTCTGCTTCCACACAGGAAGAGGTCAGGGGACTATCTCATTGTCTCTCTTTTTTTTTTTTTTTTTTTTACCTCTGGTAGGGGGTGAGAAGGTAGGGGTAGGGGGTAGAGCTGCTTCAGTCTGGAAACTTCTCCCTTCTCTGCGGCAATTCCAAAGACATTCCTCTTAATGTCCTCAAATCGTACAGAATTCAGTGAGTAATTTGGTCTCTGGAAACTTTGGGAATGGTCATAGGCATAAGGCGGTGAGTGGTAACTTCAAGGTTTGATTTGGTTTGGTTAAAGTAAAACCCCAAGCCAGACGTGGTGGCTCATGCCTGTAATCCTAGCACTCTGGGAAGCCGAGGCAGGAGGATCGCTTGAGGTCAGGAGTTCAAGACCAGCCTGAGCAAGAGCGAGACGCCATCTCTACTAAAAAAGTAGAAAGAAATTAATAGGCCAACTAAAAATATATAGAAAAAATTAGCCGGGCATGGTGGGGCATGCCTGTAGTCCCAGCTACTCGGGAGGCTGAGGCAGAAGGATTGCTTGAGCCCAGGAGTTTGAGGTTGCTGTGAGGTAGGCTGATGCCATGGTACTCTAGACCAGGCAACAAAGTGAAACTCTGTCTCAAAAAAAAAAAGTAAAACCCCAATGCTGGGTCTACCACTCAGGGGAGTGTCATGGAGGGACACTTCCTAACCACTCTTTCGCAGGGGGGGCACAGCCCCCATTACTCTTCACCCAGACCCAGGGACACCTGGCTATGGGGAAGACTTCAAATTTACAATCTGAGTCAGAAGTCAGGGATGCCTATTCTCTGGTTCAGATCACTAGGTTTTGGTCTGACTCAGATTTTGGAGGCTGCCTGATGTCTGATCAGACCTTCAACAAGTCACCTGAATTGGGGATGCCCTCTCAGACTTCTGGCAACATGTGACCATCCCCCAAAACATCCTTTTCTTTTTCTTAGTTGCCAACATGAGCAACATTTGGTCAGAACTTTGGGACTCATTGACCCCCATCCCAAATGCTCAGTAAATTAAAAGACCAGGAAATTTGGCCCAAGAATGAATCTCTGTGTAAAGGTACTTGACCTTTTGTCGCCACTAGCCAAGCAAAGAATCTAAAGTCCTCTATTTTCAAGCTTTCTTTAAACTTGCTAGTCTTTCTGGTCTTTACTGTGCCTGCCTCGTGTTACTTTTTACCCCTGCATCTCTCTCATTGCCTTAACTTTCCAGATAATGTTTCTCTTTTGGATCTCCTGTTCCTCCTTCCTCTTCTCTGTCTCCATCTCTCTCGCCTGGCCACACCTACTCTGGGTGGCCATTCCAGAACCCTGCAGGGTGCCTGTTAGTGAGTGAACTGATAGGATTGATCTGTTACTGGGGAAATTGTGGGATTAGATATTTTCCTGTTATTTTAGCAACGCCACTCCCTTTCAATATCTGGTTGAACTACCAGAACCTATGCTAAGGTTGACCAAAATTCGGAAAATTTTATTTTGGCAAGCTTTTTCATTGTATTTGCTGTAATGGGATTTGACCATTATTTCCATAATTGTATTTGAGAGTTTTTGGTAAGGTGTCTAATGACTTGCCTTTGCTGAATTTGTAACCTGCTTGAATTTTAGAGGATGCTGCAGTAAACAGTTCAGAGAACTATACTCACTTAAGCTGGCAGGGAAGATAGTTTTCCCAGAGTGAGGCTTATGCATTGCACTCTGAATGTGCCGATCCCTGAGATTTCCCCAAATGTGGGAAACTTGGCAGTATAATTTGTGGTAGTGAGGGACTGTGTTTTCACTTTCCTCTGATTTAAAAAAATGAAAGAAAAAAAAAAAAGAGTTTAGAGAACTAAGGGAAACATATGATTAGCATATAATAAGCCAGGATTCAATTTCTACTGTAAGACATAAAGTACAATTAGCTATTTAAATTCTTATGTGAGCAAATGTTAACATTGGAGGAAGGAAAGAATAAAAAGAGAAAAAAAATTAAGAAAAGAAAAGAAAAAATTAAAAAAATAAATTCTTATAAATTTTTAAAAAGTGAAAACGTTTTATCCTGTAAATGCCACATCTGTCCTTGGTGCCATTATGATCCCAAAGTCAAACTGTACTTTCTTAATATAAACCATTGAGTATAGGACATAAGAGATCTGGGAAATTGTATCTCTCACCCTGAAATAAGTGTCTAAGTACATAGAAGGAAAGCAGATTATCCGTTTTCTTTCTTTACCTCCATGGAAGCCTTCACCTCATAATCTTAAAATAAGCTGACACATAGATTCATCATGTGCTGAGGGGAATTCCAGGGAATCAGGGAAGTCTTCAGTAATTGGTCCATCCTGATTCTCCAGATGTACCCCTCTTGTCCCTTCCCATTCAAATGAGAAACTCTCATCCCTTAGGGAAAGCTCCATAAAAGGAATGTAGTTACCCTTGTAGAAAACATAATACATACAACAACTGATACATATAACTAGTAAAAAAGTAAAATAATAAAAAAGAAATACAATAAAAGAAGTCCACCTCCCTCAGGACCCTCATTTCCATTCTCAGAGGTATAACAACTGTTACCAGTTTCTAGACTACCCTTCCAAAGATAATTTCTATACATACAAGTTTATGTATGGGGGATGTGTCTGTTTTTTAAACCTAAGCGTCAGCATGCTGTATACTTTGTACATTGCTCTTTACAAAAAAGGGAATTTGGCCAGGTGTGGTGGCTCACACCTGTAATCCCAGCACTTAGGTAGGCTGAAGCAGGAGGATCACTTGAAGCCAGGAGGTCAAGACCAGCCTGGGCAACATAGCGAGACTCCATCTTTACAAAAAATAATTTTAAATAAAAAAATTAGCCAGCCAAGACCTTGTCTTTAAAAAAAAAAAAAAAAAAGCAGGGGTGGGATGTGATTTTAAGTAATTTCATTGTTGGAGTCCCAGAGACCATGCTCTGTGGTAAGGGGAGCAGTATCCTAAGTCATATATATCTTTTTCTTCCTCTCTTCCCAACAAAGACATCGATGCCAGGCCATGGGACTTCCAAGCAGAAGAATGCACCTTGCGAGCCAACATTGAGGCTTTTAACAGCCGCCGGTATGACAGACCCCAGGACTCTGAATTTTCACCTGTGGATAACTGCCTCCAGAGTGTGCTGGGGCAGAGGCTGGATCTGCCTGAAGATTTCCACTATTCATATGAGCTCTGGCTGGAGAGAGAGGTGTTTTCACAGCCCATCTGTTGGGAGGAGCTGCTCCAGAATCACTGACTGAGCTCCTCTTAACAAAGCATTGATAGATGGAGGTTGGCTCCAATAAATGGTGCTCTGCCTACCCTGCTAAGCCTTCATTTCCAGTTCTAGGAGTGCTTTTCAAGGGGCGATATGGCCCAGCCCTAGGACATCCAGTACAGTTCAGGGCTATTCTGGAGTTTGTTGGGCCTAGAGATGGCGCAAGGCGGAATCCTGAGTCACAACAAAATGATTAACATTTTTTTTATCCCAGTATTCTCTGGGGTCAGTTGGGTGCCCACTTGGTCTTGAAAATCTTTTAGTGATTCAGTCCTGGACAGGCTCTTTGGTGGGACCTCTCCCTCTCCCTGCTTTAGTCTTGGCTAGAACTAGTCTAGCCTTAGCTGGCCCCAAGAGTGAGAGGAAGTTTGTTATGGCATTTGACTCCTAGCATTCATCACAGATAGTGTGGGATACAGGTTGTAAAATAGGGAGAAAGTTTTCTTCTTGTTCACCCTGGATTCCTAGGACTTATCAGAGGTTTGGCAAAACCAACTTTGAAATTAAGTCTATATTTTAAATTTTGACACTCACCTCTTTCTAAGATCATTAGCTCTAAGATGATTTTAGAGCACCTGCACCTTCTTTGTGGAGGATGATGATTTACTATTCCCTAAATAGTGCATGTTATAGAAAAGTGTGTTATGTAGTGTTTTTTTCTTTATTACCTAAGAGATCTGTGTTCAATGTGAAAATTATTTCCTTGTGTACTCTGTATAGGGCATGGAGTACTCTGCTATTTTTAAAGAGCTACAACCAATATGAAATAATCAGGCCTTCTTTAAGGATGTTCCATGTTTTTCTGAAGCTACTTCCATCTTAAGATGGCTGAGTATACTGCAAAAAATTATCGTTTTCATGCAATTCATTTTTTAAATGACAAGTTAGCTACAGGAGGTTTTATTTATTGAGATGTTATGTCCATTTGTGCTCACGATTTATTTATTTTTTTAATTGAAAAGAACAGCAAGAGCATCACAGCTTACCATTTTTCTTTTTCTCCAATGTTGATTAATGATTTTTTTCTTTTATTGCTAGCAGTTTCAAAGTATCATGTGGAGATTTAGCAATACTGTTTCTATCAAAAATATTGCACATTTCATTGAAAATATAAGGATTTATGTGCTAACCTCTTTACACTTCTCTCTTTTACAGCAGTATCACATACCACCCAAAAGAAACTAGGTTTCTAGAAAAGTTTCTGATTTAGTCAGGATTATTTTATTTCTCTTCTGTCCCCAGAATTATGTCATCTATATCTTCAAGCTTTTTTACTTTAAATTGTTCCCCCCAACATAGACTCTGCTGAATCTTTTAATGATGGCACCAGGTCACCTTATGCTGGGAGATGTAGTCAAAATTTGCTTATTTACTCTGTCTTTTGCTAACCACAGTCTCACTTGGAGGTCATGATAGAATACTTGATAATATCCGAAGGAACTATACCAAAATCTAGTAAGTAAACTTTGAATTTTATCTCTTTGTGCTTTAGGGTAGCAGGATTTCTGTTTTTATGGAAAGGTCATGGAGAATGTAAGTATGTAATGGATAAAACTTCTTAAAATGTGTAAATTTTATCTAAGTAGGATGGCAGTCCTATTGTAATCAAAATAATTTACTGAGCATATCTTCTATGAATTTTATTAATCTAGAGTCAGCTTGTATGATTTTAGTGTGATTTGAATGAAAAGACAATTTTCAAGGAAAGAGAAATCATCACTCTATTTTCTTTAAAGCCATATTAAATTCAAATTGTGTCAAGAACAAATAAGTTACCCGTTTAAAAGTATGCACATGAGTGCTTTTTGAGATACAGAAGTATGCTAAGCTTTAAAATTTTATATTTTTATTATTTACAACTCTTCTCTAAGGAAAGATTAGTTCTCTGTATAGATAGAGAAACTGCAGCACCAAGGATGAGTGATTAGTTTGGTTTTCTCCATGGACTTGGTGAGACTAGCTGTCATGTACTGACAGCCAGGCCTCCATGCTAAGGTAACCAGGTTGAATCTCCCAATTTGAAAACCCGAATGTGTGGTTAGGAATAAACTCAGATTAACCAATTTCTAATGGTGATTACTGTTACTACATAGAAAAACATTATTTGAGTGATTTATAAAGTAGAAGATTTTTGTGAATGTTTCAATAAAGTTTGTGTTGATTATTGATAACACTATCTACTGAAGCACTTTAATAAAGAAAAATAGGCTGGAATTAGAAATTTGGTCTTTAAATTCCTCAACACAAGAAAAACTTAGTCATATTAGTTATAGAAATGAAGGGTATAATAAAGAGGGTGAATATACAAAATCTTGCATTAGTCTACCCCCAAGGAATGCTCAAACAAACAACTCTAAATCTTAGTGATTTACAATAATGTGTATTTCTGGGGGTCAGCTACAGTTCTGCTCTGCTCAGCTTGGCTTGCTTGATTGGCTTGCTCCATAAGTCGTTTTCTCCTGGCATTAGGCTGATGCAATAGCCCCTACCTGGGACATAACTGCTTTCATAGTGAAGGCCAGGAGCCAAAGACAAACTATACCCTGCAAGCATATTTAAAGCTCCTGCTTAGATATGGCATAAGTCAAATTGTTCATATTCTATTGGCCAAAACCAACTTGCATGGACAAGCCTAACATTGGGCCAGAGAAGAAGCATACTGTACGTACAGGGTGGCAAGTATGGGGTGGTATAATACTCTTGCAGTAGAGAAAGTGAGTCAATAATGAATATCTGCTCCTATCCTATACACAAAATCCACATAGCCCCTCCTCAAGGAAGACTCTAAAAATCTTATCCAGTCATGTTAGACCTAAAATCCAGGATCTAACCTAGATGAAGGTCTAGATGAAGTGTGTCTTGATCCAGAGACTTGCAGACTTAAATAGCAACAAAATATGTTATGTCATCCTAAAATGAGTGACAGAGACTGACTTTCCAAAGCAAATAATTTATTTGAGAATAGCAGGGGATTACAATATGGTGTGCAAGTTATGGTGGACCATAGGTACATCTAAAGGGATTGGGGCAAAGGGAAGCATTATTTTTCAATGGCTTTTAAAGACAAAAAAGTCCATGTAAACTGTTTTGAAACAAAGACCACTGGTTACAGGACTTGTTGCAAGAGTTGGCAGCTCATTGGTGGAGATAGCCATTATTAGGCAAGTGTCCTTGTGCAAGTGGCTTATCTGCAATACTGTGGTTCTGAGGAGTTCCTTGCATAGTTCTCATCACAGGCATACTCACAGGAAGGCCTCTCTTTCATGGCCTTTCAGATTCGTTTTGTTAGGATCTGACATTAGTGATTCCATTTTGATAACTTTCACAGTTAATGAACTGAATTGTGATCACTTCAAAATGTGTGTATATATATATATATATATATACACACATATATATGCATATATATATATCAAAACTTCAAGCTGCACTCTAAATATTTACAATTTTTATGTCAACGATATCTCAATAAAGCTGTTTAAAAAAGAAACAAGAAATGTTGCGGTGGCTCACGCCTAGAATCCTAGCACTCGGGGAGGCTGAGGCAGGCGGATCACTCAAGGTCAGGAGTTCGAAATCAGCCTGAGCAAGAGCGAGACCCCATCTCTACCAACAATAGAAAGAAATTAATTGGCCAACTAAAAATATATAGAAAAAATTAGCTGGGCATGGTGGCACATGCCTATAGTCCCAGCTACTCAGGAGGCTGAGGCAGGAGGATCTCTTGAGCCCAGGAGTTTGAGGTTGCTGTGAGCTAGGCTGATGCCACGGCACTCTAGCCCAGGCAACAGAGTGAGACTCTGACTCAAAAAAAAAAAAAAAAAAAAAGAAATGTTAAATAAGAAAACAAGTTATCTGCCTCTGTCCCGTACCACACACACACACACATACACACATCCAAAATACAATGATAGGCTGTTGCGGTGGCGAATCCTAGCACTCTGGGAGGCTGAGGCAGGAGGATCACTCAAGGTCAAGAGTTTGAAACCAGCCTGAGCAAGAGTGAGACCCCGTCTCTACTAAAAATAGAAAAAACTTAATTGGACAACTAAAAAATATATAGAAAAAATTAGTCGGGCATGGTGGCACATGCCTGTAGTCCCAGCTGCTTGGGAGGCTGAGGCAGAAGGATTGCTTGAGCTCAGGAATTTGAGGTTGCTGTGAGCTAGGCTGACGCCACGGCACTCTAGCCTGGGCAACAGAGTGAGACTCTGTCTCAAAAAAAAATACAATGATAGAACAGGGAGAAGATAGTCTCAATAAACATTCTTTTTCTGAAAGCAGGAGAATGAAAGGCACATAGTAATCGCTGGTCCATAGCAATTCTGTAATCCCACTGAGCAAATGTGAGGTGATGTAACTCTGGGGATAGGAAAGGTATTCAGTCTGCTCCTTAGAAGTAGGCTCCCCACTCCTCATGGTTCTGTGGGAGCAGAGAAGGCTTCCTTTTCTCATATCCTTGGCCACTCTGAAGAGGACATTGGGGAATGCTTTCCCTGTGTTCCTGGTGGCTGAACAGCTTTCCTTGTCTGCTTCCTGTTTTAGGTATGCTGGGGCTCAAGAGCCATTTTATATTTTGAACAGTCATTATCCTTTAGTTGGACTGGCAATTTAGCAATATAACTCTCAAAAGCTTTTAAAAATCTATTTCATTCCAGTCAGCTCATTTGCCAATAGCCATAATCACAACTTTTTTTGATGCCTCTCTAAACTTGGTGGTAGGTACTTTATCAGCCTTCTGTAAAGCCATTCCTTTGGTCCCTTTCCTTGAACCTTTTTGTCTAACTGAAAGAATTTACTGAAGCCCACATGATCCAGTACAGAGACAATAAAAAGCCTAAATACCACACCCTTAATTTGGTCTTCACCCTAAGGCAATGTCTTAAAACAGCCTTATGGTTCAAAGTGTTTTAAAATTTTATCTTTCATAAGTTGGATAAAAACAGTTACAACTCTCCATATTGTAAGTCCTGAAATTTCTGGATTCTCTTTTCCCTTGCTTGAAAATAGGCCAATTCTTTTCTGAGCTATCTCTTGCTTGTAGTTTAACAAATGGGCTAATAATAACACTGTGGTTCCCAACCCTCCAGGCCAAGGACCTATATCTGTCTGGGGCCTGTTAGGGACTGGACCACAGAGCTCTGCCACCCCCCAATCCTGGCCTGTGGAAAAATTGTCTTCCATGAAACTTGGGGGGTGGGGGACAGTGCACAGCAGGAACTGAGCAGAGTATATACAGCTGTTCCCCATCATCTGCATCACCGCCTGAACTTTGCCCACCCCATCCCCATCTGTGGAAAAACTATCTTCCATGAAACCGGTCCTTGGTGCCAAAAAGGTTGGGGACCACTATGTAACCAACTCATGCTACCGACATCTTGTCTTACAACCTCTTCACCAACCACACTTTAAGTGCATTTTCTGCCTTTCAAGTTATCATAGACAATGATTTTGCCAAATTTTTTTGCCATTGTATAACATGGGTTGCCAATTTTCCAGCCTCTTACAGGTTTTCTCACTAGGGTATTGGCGCTTATATCAACACCACATATTTTAGGGCTTTGTTATGGCAGCAACCCACTATTTGCTACCAACTTCAATATTAAACATTTATGCTCACAACAACCCTAACATTTCAGTGGCTTATAACAACAAACATTTATTTCCCAGTTGTGGATCTGTGCACTTGGTATAGCCCTACTTAGCTCTTTATGTCTGCTCATTCTAGACTCTAAACTTCAGGCTGGCTGATGAAGTAGACTCTGTTCTCATGATGAAAAGCAGGAGCAAGAGATCAAATCATAAGAATGAATTTACACCTTCTGCTCAGATGTGATATAATTCACAATGTAACAGAAGTAAAGTTCTGAAAAAGGGCAAAATGTTTTAGGATTTGTCTCTAAAAACCCTACCTTTTTTGGGAATTAAAATCTGCATTCCTGCTCAAGGCCAGTAATCAAAGGGGCAGTAAGATGTTCTTTGCTGTTTGTTTTCTAGCATCTTAAACCACCAGGACATAACTCAAAAGAATTGTCCACACAAAGGTCATGAGATCAGCCTCACTGGGGATAAGGTCAACTGAAACCACCAACTATAGTTGAATAATAGCCTGAAGCCATGACATGTGACACTGGTCAAAGACCCAAGCCCAACCACCAAGTTCCCCCACCCCCTTTACAAAGCCCTGTATTTCTGCTTTAAGGCAGGATGGTAGTCTTTTGAAAAGCTAGTCTGCTGTCCTCCTCAAATAAACTTATCTTTCCTTTTCCTCAATCCTCTGCCCTGGCTCTTTGTTCTCACTGATTCGGCCTCAGGGACAAGTACTGAACTTTCAGTGACAAGAAGTCACATTTAGTTGGCCAAAGCAACTCACATGGACACACTAATATTGGTGCAGGGAAGTTTACTACATCTACAAGAAGGCAAGCCTGTATTATACTCTTACTGAGGAGGGAGTGTATAATTAGAAACAAGCATAACATCTACCACAGTTACATTATATTGTCTTTTTCAGAAGCTAAATATGGGCTAAGAAGTTAAATATAGATGCTAGATTAGCAATTCTTAATCACTACCACTCCCTTCTGGGTTCTCTGCATTGAAGGGAAAAAGCCTGGAACTACATTTCCTAGAATCTCTTACCCTGTGTGATTTCAGGTTAAAGTTTACCAACAGAAGGAACTCACAAGATTTGGAAGGGAGAAGAGGAGCCATTATCCTGTGGAGGCAATTGCACCCAGACATATAGGTAGACATGAGTCATAGAAGCTTCCCAGTGAACTCTTGAGATTGGTGATGCAACTTTGTTAGAGATCCTTGGGAATTTCAACAGCTATTTCAAATGCCAGTGAGCATTTGAGAACCATCCATTTCAGTGCTTTATGCTGACCTCTTCAGTTGTGGCCTTCTTGATTCTCCTTGCCCCACAGTGTCCCTAGCTCTTCCACCTAACAATAAGCATTGATATATAAAGGCAATGCTATAATTCTGTTTCTCCCCCCAAGTAGTTGTGGTGAGTTTGAACTCTCTCTTCTAGTCCTTTTTGAGATGACCCATATTTACAATAAAACTAGCTAAGATTAAGAATGCAGTTGTAGTTTTAGGATAAAATTGATGCTGGTTCATGCAACAATCAAACTCACCATCTTGATCTTATTGATGCTATAATCGATGAGTAACCACCTAAATACCCAGGCTATATGAAGTATGAATTTATAAACT